TCAACCAACGAATGTGTCGATTATCATTGTCTACATCAATCGGAGTCAGTTTACACAAGAAGTATAATATCGCCAGAAAAGAACTCTATGCCCACAATGAAAACGCAAGTAGGACCCCGTCCTCGAAGGTCTTACGCTATAAAGTAAATAAATTTTTTGATGTGCATGTTCATAAACACAATTGGAATTTAAGAAAATTTTCATGGTAATGCAAAAACGTTTTTGTTTCTAATAAATAAAGACTGATATAACGATAGGCTGGCATCATCCAAAAATTCTCGCAACAACAAATCTCAGTTGAGTTATGTTATTTTTTTCCCTTTAAGAAACGAATGTGGAGGGAACTTTGAATACATTTTTCATAAATATTATGAGGTATCACTTGGGGAGGTTTCAAGAACGCTAAAATTGTCCCTTTCCCATTTTTGTCTTCAAGAAGCTATAATTTATTAGTGGCAACCATTTCAAAATTCAAGGTCGTTAAATGGCAACTACGAAAACAGATGAACTTCGAGTCCTGCGTCAAACGGTAAAATAAAAATTTTAAGTTCGATAATCCGACCCAGATAAAGCTTTCTGAAAATTTTAAAGAAATTTTGTGGGGGAGGTGCATGCTAACGAGGTGCGAAAATTTGATAATCTCCGACTCAATAAGGTGAAGAATATAAAAGATTTCTTATCTCCATAAAAACTGCGTGACGAACAACTCCTATTTTACTGGTTGGTATATATCGTCTCTTTCATAACACACGGCCCTCATTAAGTAAGCAATATTTAATGCCTGAAAGAGCTGGTAGAAAGAGCTTGAGGTGCTCAGTAAGAGTGGTAAAGGTTCGAACTGAGAGAGGTAAAGGTTCTTAGTTACAGTTTTTAAATTGCACTCTCAAAAGAGAGTATAGAAAATAAAGAAAGGCCTAAACTTTGTTTACTCCTGACAACGACCTGCTACTGAAATTACTGCCAAGGTTGATTCAGCGATCAGACCACTCGATCCCGAATAAGCAGACACTGTCAGGAGAGCTGTTTACGGAATCCTTCAATAGACAAAACCACCGGAGCCTAACACCACGAAAGAAATGCAGGACCAATCCATCAAGGTACTTCCAGCAGACAAAAGACGTGCTCACGTAGTCTTATACGCCGACTCCTATTAGGCCAAGATTTCTTCTCTGATCGAAAATGGACCGTATCAGCGCTTGAACAAAGGTTCGACAGAACGTCTGACTAGGAAAGTGTCTGAGAAACTGCTAACCTTGAAACGAAGCGGACATCTATCAGAGGCCATCTACAACCAGATCAGACCACGACACAAACAGTCGCCTAGAATCTACGATCTACCGAAGATTCATAAAGACAATATACTCGTCAGAAATTGGAGAACGACCCTAGCCTACCCATCAGCACGACACTAACACCTAGTCATATCAAGGACCTCCTGAACTTCGTATGGAGATCTACGTACCTCTGATACAATGCATCAATTTACGAAGAGACAACGGGCAGCTGTGGGAGGTCCGGTTTCCGCTGTTATTGCTAACCTCTATTTGGAGAGGTTTTAAGAACAAGCAGAAACATCATCACACTACAAACCTAGGATTGGAAACCTTACGTACATAACACCATAACAATCTCGGCTCGTGGTGGCGTAGAAAGCTGCCAACAACATTCAAACCACCAACAGCTCTGTTAAAAATTAATGATCTAAGCCAACACCATATAATGAAAAATAGATTGACTTCATCGTGGGGG